TTCCCAAATCTGTGACGTCGCATGGAGTTATTGTGGCCAAAGTGCAGGACCTGGTACTTAGCCTTGTTTAATGAAGCAGCTACTCAGAGAGATGATCCAACTTCAGCTGCTACGGTGCATTCAATCAATATAGTTGATTCTTTAATTGCTGTCTTGATTTACTTGCATGTTTTTAAAATGACACTTGTAGTATTAAAAAAAAAAAATAAGAGTTAGCTAGATAAACCTAAACAATATTGAAAAACCTTATATTGCCATAATATTAATGCTATCCACTAATAAAAAGAAAATGTGTGTTTCAGCGTAATCTCATATCAGACATTACCAAGAAACATGCCAAGCCATCGACCTCAAGTTTTACCCCGGTACCCAGAAGGCTACAGAACGCTGCCGAGAAACAGCAAAGCACGGCCGGAGAGCCTCTGCAGCGTAACACCATCTGCTTACGACAGAGCCATAGGACCAGTAACAGCCGAAGAAAAACGACGGTCGATGCGCGATGACACAATGTGGCAGCTCTATGAATGGCAGCAACGTCAGTTTTACAATAAGCAAACGACTCTTACTAGACACAGTACTTTAAGTAGCCCCAAAACTATGATTAATATTTCTGATCAGACAATGCATTCGATTCCCACCTCACCTTCTCATGGTTCAATCGCCGGTTTCCAAGGATATTCCCCACAGCGGACCTACAGATCAGAAGTGTCTTCACCAGTGCAAAGGGGAGATGTAACTATTGATCGCAGACACAGGACACATCATACTAAGGTAAAAATGCTTATTTTAGTAGTTAAAAATCTTATTTACGAGGATTTTTAGCTGAAGGTATACAGTTACTGTAAAACTGTTGTAGTGTAGTATATTTTATTACAATGAAGATTAAGTTACATCACTGTTTTCATGGAGAAAGGTTTGATTTTAAAAAGCATTTAAAAATCTGAAGGTTGTAAAAAGATATTTTTCTAATACACTAGGTAAAACATGTTGTCATAATATTACTGTCCGTGATATTATGTTTCTCTAAAGGAAAGAAAAGGAGTCAATAGGCAAATTATTCAGAATAGTTTGAGTTCTGTACAGAAATCTTTCTCCTTTCTAGCTTCTGTAACTAAGAACTCAGAGGACTGAAAATCACGGATTTCTTTCCACATGCTGTTTTCTGTTCTTCAGCCACAAGTTTGGCTGCCGTGGGTTCCAGCAGAAAACTGAGTGTAGTTGTTTCATCTGATGCCTCTGAGTTATTGGGGAGATCACTAAAGATCAGAGTCTATTTGCACACAACCTTAGTGCTTGACTAGTGTAACTTTGCTGGTCTTCATCAGTGAGAAGGAGACGCGACGAATTGTAAACATGGGTGCTGTATGTGGCTCTGCTATGTCCATCACACTTGTGTTATGCATGTTTTTTAATAGATTGGAGATAATTACATTAAAATCACTCTTTTAGTTAGATGTAAAGCTAGAGCTTGTATAAAATGCTCCTGAACATTTTTCCTAAATCTGTATCTCCAGTGTCTTTATATTTCTTGATGCAGGGGAAAAAATCTTGAACTACATCTTAAAGAAGTTTAATCAACTTACAGTTGATTAATAAGTCATATTTTTGGAAGTTTTTAAGTCCCTATCAACAGAGGAGTCATTTTGTTTTGACATTATCTGTGTCTAAACTGCACTGGAAATTTAGTAATCAGTGCTTCTCACAAAGCTAAGAAATACCACTAGGGTCAGTGCTGCAGAGCATGTACTTACACGTCCTTTCAGCCATCCTTTGCTTTCTCATATTTTTTTCCTTGTGGAACATTTTATGCTAGTATTTCATTTCATATTTAGCATCTTTTATATGAGATTCTTATTTACGTTTGGGTTTTCATGCTGTTTGGCTTGTGCACAGCTAGCTTTTTCCATTAACTTAGAAACACAAACCTGTTTTTAAGAGGTGAGTAATTAGAAGACTCTTTGAAATCAGTAGGGTAAATTTAAGATTTAAACTCCATCTGTATATTTTGGGTTTTTAACAGGTTTTGGTGATGAGTGAAAAACTAAGTGTTGTTGTTTACATGGGCTATGATTAGGGCAACAGCTGTGAGGGAGGACTGTTAATTAAATAAATTATGAAAGCTGGGTTATTTCTAGAAGTTAGAGGTAACCGACTCGAGTGTCCTAGATAGTAGATCAGCAGGGAGCATGACTGTCCAAAGTTGGCACGAACTATAGCAAATTTGTCATGAGTGTGAAGTTGGCTTGACTTCTTTTTTAGCATTTAATAGTTGTTGAGTCTTTAGATAACTGTGGATCATACTGTGCTATTTTGTTTTTTGTACAGCATGTCTTTGTGCCTGACAGAAGGTCAATGCCAGCAGGTCTGAGTTTACAGCCTGTTACTCCTCAGAGCCTCCAAGGCAAAACAGTGAGTTGGATTTTTATTTGGTACATGAGTTTTTTCTTAAGAATAATTCTTTAAGAATGAAAAGGCAACACTGATATCCTAGTCTATTCAAAGCTTGCATTAAATGTAGCCTTTATTTTAATTATCAGGGATTTTTAAAGCAAATAAGGAAGTATTCTGTGGTTACATTTAATTCTGAGAATATCATGTAGCTGCTGACTCCAGATTTTCTTTGAGAAATACAGAGGAGGTTTTTTTAATAATCTTTGATACATTACAGAAATTCCTGGGAGAGGGTAGAATACATCACAGAACACTGATTTCCCCATTAAGTATTTAGAAAACAGTAAAAGTCAAGTTTACCTTTTTTTGAAATCTTAAAGATGCTAGAACTGCATTTGGTTCTTTCTGACATCTCCCATTTTTTTGTGATAGAGTTGAAACTCTTATTGAAGGTATTTCATCAAAGGTAATATTGGTGAATACTGTCCACCTTCCTAACTGAAACATGACTCTTAGCCCAAAGCTAAGAAGTTGTCCTAAATTTACTACATTTACTTATCAGTTTTTGTCTCCTTTCTGTAATCATTCTCTGTCCATCTGAAATTACTGTTTGAGACAGTTATGAATCGAGACTACAGATTTTGAATCATACTGTGGGCAACAGCTCCCCAGTCAGTCCTTCCACTGCCTCAACCCCTGTTTCTTGCACTTCCCAGTGTGAATCCCTGGTGCCTTCAGCAACTTATGGGTTGGCCTTTGGCAGCTGGCGCCTTATCTCTGCGCCTTGTCTTCTGCAGACGTTTCTTTGGGTTCATGGCCCCATCAGTTCTCCTGGGCTCTGCTGCTGGAGCTGGGCTGGTGAGCGGGGTAGGGGGCAAGGAGGTCCAAGCTTCTGCCTGTAGAAACCAGAAGTCCTGCCCACAGCACAAGTGTTGCAGGGGCCAGAGGAGGAAACCCGTAGGTAGCTCTTTAAACAAAATTCTGTGTTGTGGTTGTTGCAAGAGTCCCGAGAGTTGAATCAAAAGCACAAGCACTTACAGCAATGTCAACAATGTTTGCAACATTATGAACGTCTAGAGAGAAGTAGAAATTACTGTTTGATGGGCTTCTCTCTGGAAAAAAAGAATGCTTGCAAACATTGGATTTAAGTACCATTAAATAGTTTATTCCTAATGGAATAAAATCGGACTTTTGCAGAACATACTGAGAAGATTTTTGATTTTGAAAAAGCATCTCACTATTCTTTTGTTTGAAGATCCTACTTTCCATTCTCTTATTTCTAAAAATAAGCTTTCTTGTGCTTTGAAATGATGTTAATTTTCAGACTGAAAGCATTGTCACAGATTTTTTTCAGAGAACTTAAAAATGTCTTGTATTACAGTCTAGATTCTTATGCTCACTCTCTGAAAATAAGTATTCTAAATCCAGGTATTGAAAGAGTACTGTAAGAGGCAGATTGGCCATTAGACAATTCGGCTTTGGTGTTGGTTTTCCCTCAAAGCAAATGGTTTTGGCAACTGAAGCTATGTGGAAATCCCTTGCTCCCTCTTGTGGGCTGCTTTGGTACGAGCTCACAGTGGTGCCAGTGCCACGCTTATTCTCAGGGATTTTTCTTCTTTATGCTAAGAAGCTGGTATTCGTTTTTCAGTAGTTTAATATGTGGTTCTCTGAAGCTTTATTCTTGACTTCTCTGCTTTGGGGAAATTCTGTGACTGTGGGAGAGAGGAAGCAGGGTTTTAGGGTTTGGGGGGTTTGGGGATTTTTAACTCCCAGAACTTGTGAGAAAATCAAAATGCTGGATAAATATTCAACCTCTTATAAGACTGACTTCTGGAGAAGTGTAAGAAACAGAAGCAAACAGGAACATAACAAAAATCCTTGTGATGTTAAGTGTTTAGTTTTCTTTGAAGTATTGCTAATAGAAGTGGTTCCCAGGAATGGTTCAGGTAGAGTTTCCCAAACTGACCTAAACTGATCTGTGTGGAATTACCTGACAAATACCCATTTGAGTGTGTCTTTATTTCCATTATATATATAATCTTGGGTTTTAAATACTATTCTTCATCCCTTCCTAAGGCTGTATTGTACATCTTAGTCATAAAAGTAAAGCAAGAAATTAACTGGTAGCCTCAGATCTGAGGCAGGTGAGATGGAAAATTATTTTTGTCATGCTTGTGCAGTTTTATTTTATGAAAGGTGATTGTTTCTGATGTAGTTCAGTTATCGTGGGGTTTTTATTATTTTTACTGTTAATTCTGACATACGTTTGAAGAATTATTTTGGAAACTAAATTTTCTTGAGGGTATTTTTGATTCTTTCACCAAGCTCAAATGCCTGTCCATGTACAAGTAATGATATCCTAAGGGCTAGAATTATCTCCCCCTTTACTTAAGTTGATATCATCAATTTGATATGCATTTCAGAAAAAGTTTGAGGACTGCACAGATTTCTCCTGCAAAATCCTCACTTATTTTTCTCCTTTATACAGAATGTTGCACTTTTAGGGCATTTGGAGTATCAGTTGTTTTGAGTAGTTAACCATTCAGTATATATGTACAAGTGGTCAATTGAGGGGAAAATGGTGTACCTTTTGTTGTATCGCTATAGAAAGTTTTTCTAAAAAAGATACTAAGAACCCTTATTTTAAGTAAGTGTTGTTTAGGATACCAATTAACTTTTTTTCTACTCTTTGGCTTCTCACACTGCACTCCTTCAGCCAGAGGAGCTCACGCTGCTGCTAATAAAGCTGAGACGGCAGCAAGCCGAACTGAGTAGTATCCGGGAACACACACTAGCACAGCTCATGCAACTAAAACTTGAGGCCAGCAGCCCAAAGGTCAGCTATAAAGCAATGTGTGTCATGTACCATTCTCACTAACTTGTGGTCATTCATTAATCAAAGTTTGCGTTGTACTGTTAGTGCCAATTTTTCTTACTACTATGGGAGTAGAATAGAGTAACACTGGTTCTTTGTGTATGTGGTGTTCTGCTATTAACCCTTTGAGGCTTTCCTCATAGCTCTTCTATATTAGCGGAGTCAAAATTACATAGGAATACTTTAAAATATATTATAGTTAAGTTTAAAGGTTTTTAGCCTATTGTTGTTATAATCAAAATGAGTAGTGATAGAATATGAGATTAATCTATTGTTTACACTGCCTTATATCAGATACAATCGTATGTGTAACCTGTGTACAAAAATCAGGACATGTTTAAAACACGGATTTATCAAAGGGTTTATAGTTGTCTGTGTAGTAGACGTTTACATGAGCCTACTGTACTTTATTTGTAAAATCAAATGTAATGTAGTAGTAGTCTGATTCATGGCATTTTCATCACTTCTGTTTTGGGATCAAAACTTGTTAACAGCTCACTAAAAAAAAGCAGATAAAAACAGCATTATATTTCTACATAAAACAAAAAGATCACTGTCTAGTGTATATCTTCTAAAGCTCTTTTCATGCATTCTGCACCTTCTGTCCCTTTCCTTTTTCCCTCTGACTGCTGCCTGCTAGAATGAGATTCTTTCACATCACCTTCAAAGGAATGCCATATATTTGGATCATCAGGTGGGATTTGCAATTTTCTTGTGTGTTTGTTTCTTAATGCTTTTTGCCTGCTCCTATCAAGCTGGAAATATTTGGGGAGAAGGATTTTTTTCAGTTGGATGTTTAATATATGCCCTTTTTAAGTAGCACATACTATCTTAATGGATTACAAATTTGACCTGTAACAAAAAAAACCCCTCAGTTTAAAATTCGTCAGAATACAGTAGCCACTCACCAATTAATGTTTCTGTTCTTCATGTCCTTCTTATAATAACACTAACTGTAACATTTTATCATCTTTAACCAAATTTGTAATATATATTTCCAAGCTCATATGACACACATGCAATTTATAGAAAATTAGTACTTCTGATAATTTTAGTTTTCTGAATTAAGAGTTAGGTGTTTCTACAGGACATTAAATGAAAGGGAGATCAAACATTAAAAAATGTTATAATCAAATCATAGCATGGCTCATTACCTTTTGTCCTTTTACTCAGTTTTTTCTTAAAGATTTATATAAGACTAAAACTTTGCTTCTTTACAACTTCTGATAACTTATGGAGCGAGGGTACGATTCTGTCTTCACTAACATAATTGATTGCAAGTGAAGAATTGTGATATCACATACCTCTTTATGGCTTTGTTGCACGATCAAATGGGACTTCTGTACAAGTTGTGTGTGAGAAGTTTTTATGTGGGAAATTTTTGCTAGCACTTACAAAAGTCAGTCATACGTGTGTAGAGGAAGAATAAGCAACTACGTGTCTGTTAGTTAAAAATATAAAACTCACTAGATCTTTTTCTAATATTCTTCCTTCTAATGAAATTTTTCGGCCTTACATTTAAAACCAACTGTTCTTAGAACTTTACTGTCTGACATGTCCCTGTGATAGGATTTCAATGAGTTACTAAAAACCACACATGCGCACGGAGACATACACATGCGCACATGCTTGGTTCACCCAGTGACTTTATTTTCCTGTTAGCTCTTGGAAACAAGGTGTGAATTGTGACCAATTCAGTTAGATGGCAATGCATTTCTAAACATCTCTGTCTCGTCTTAAGGGGCTGCAGGAGCTCCAAAACAGTAGGGAAAACCTGCTTGCTAAGTTAGGCGAAAATATTTCATTTAACTCAAATATTTCCATTTTATAATATCTTGGCATAAGGGAATAATTCTGTCTTCAACAGTGTAGTTCATTGCCAAGAAAAGACAGTTGTCCATGTGAAGTGTAAAACTATGTACCATGCTGTTGCTTGATTAGCCAAGCTTGTCAGTATACTAGACAGGATTATACAGAGAGAATTGCCTATGTATAACATGCAAAGTGGTAAAAAGGATTTTCTTTTTACTTGCATCAGATAAAATTTAGAAATGTGATGTGATAAATATTAATTTAGGGAAGTGTCTAAATCTTATAAATGTGCCATAATTACCCCTACCAGAGATGCAGAAATCACTGCACT